CAAAAAATTAGAAATCTCCTGTCCAGGTGTGATGCTGAGAAACTAGTCCATGCATTTGTTACTTCAAGGCTGGACTATTGTAATTCTTTACTAACAGGAAGTCCACAAACTGTAGTTAAAAGCCTTCAGCTGATCCAAAATGCTGCAGCCAGAGTTCTGATGAAAATTAAAAAGAGAGATCAACATCCAAGCTGCCAAAGCAGCACCAACTCCAGCATCTGAGGTGCTGGAAATGGAAAAATTGAACTTTTGCTGCTCAACGCGCCACATCAACCAATCAGAGCTGACCTGGGAGCTGGAAGGTAGACAGACACCGCACTGCTGATGCACATTGCTATGATCACTCCTCTGAAACAGTTTATTAAGGCATAAATTAAATTTAAATGTCGAAACCTGCCAGAAAAATATGTTCTATTTTACTATTCTGGTTCCTGTAGTTTAGATTACGTAAGTAAACAACGCCTTCCACCAGTCACGAACAGTAGTGGAAAACCCAAGAGGCGACCGGGCCAGAGGCTGCCGTTGAATGGGATTTCCAGTGACAGCGCACCAACGATGTACGGGGGTTTCGTGCTGGTCCACCAGTGGAATAACATCTGAAGGCAGATCTTAATCTGGATAAACTGACTGCACAGATTAAGTTTTCAGGTGGACTTTCTCACTTCAAAACATATTAAAGCTACTTTTTACCCGCTGATCACAGCAAATATAGCAAAGCTGCTCTCTGCCATCGAACACAGGAGCAGCAGAAGCATCAGATGCATCTGGAAACACTTTACTGGACGCGCTTCAGGAGAATGGAAGATGCTTTTGAGGCACGTCGGACCTTAATGTGTACAAGCATCAAAAATGAAGCAGCAGGATTTTTTTGCAGCTTCTATCACATGCAGTCTGAATGTAGCATTAGATTGCTGCAGGACATAGGGACCCATTTTCATTCTGCTTCATTCTATCTCTATTCTCTCACTCTGCAGAATCTGTAACTTTCTGCTTTTCCTCATAGTAGCTTCATCTGGTCTGTTCCTGTTTGGCTGTGACTCCATCCTGGAGAGAAATATCAGCTGTGCTGCTNACATTTTAGACCAAATATTGTTTTAGACCAAATATTGTTTTAGACCAAATATTGTTAAAATATTGTCTAATGATTCCTGATACTGAGAGGGCTGGTACAGCATTTATTATAGGATTTTACCTCAGCGTTTTGTTTGTCCATCTGAGTTTTTTTTGCATAACTCACCCAGAGCCATAGCTCTGTTGAACCGTCCATCCCACCTGCTCTTAGCAGTAATGATATTAGGGGATTCTTTATAAATAAGATTGACTTTATTAAAAATAAGGTCCTGCAGCAGGTCTAGAGCAGCAGGAGGAGCGCATCTTCACGCATCCAAGCAGCCAAAGCAGCACCAACTCCAGCATCTGAGGTGCTGGAAATGGAAAAATTTAACTTTTGCTGCTCGGCGCGCCACATCAACAAATCAGAGAAGCTGATCTGGGAGCTGAAAGGTAGACAGACACAGCGCTGCTGAAACTGTTTATTAAGGCATAAATTAACTTTAAATGTCGAAATCTGCCAGCAAAATATGTTCTGTTTTATTATTCTGGTTCCTGTAGTTTAGATTACGTAATTAAACAACGCGTTCCAACAGCCACGAACAGTAGTGGAAAACACCCAAGAGGCGACCGGGCCAAAGGCTGCCGTTGAATGGGATTTCCAGTGACAGCGCACCAACGATGTACGGGGGTTTCGTGCTGGTCCACCAGTGGAATAACATCTGAAGGCAGATCGTGATCTGGATAAACTGACTGCACAGATTAAGTTTTCAGGTGGACTTTCTCACTTAAAAACATATTAAAGCTACTTTTTACCCTCTGATCACAGCAAATATAGCAAAGCTGCTCTCTGCCATCGAACACAGGAGCAGCAGAAGCATCAGATGCATCTGGAAACAATTTACTGGACGCCTTTCAGGAGAATGGAAGATGCTTTTGAGGCACGTCGGATGTTAATGTGTACAAGCATCAAAAATGAAGCAGGAGGATTTTTTGGCAACTTCTGTCGCGTGCGGTCTGAATGTAGCATTAGATTGCTGCAGGACATAGGGACCCATTTTCATTCTATCTCTATTCTCCCACTCTATAGAATCTGTTAGTTCAATCTCTAACGTTCTGCTTTTCCTCATAGTAGCTTCATCTGGTCTGTTCCCGTTTGGCTGTGACTCCATCCTGGAGAGAAATATCAGCTGTGCTGCTGCCATCAACACCTTTGTTTATAGATGGTGGAGATCTGCCTGTTTTTGTATTTGTTTTATGTTTATACTGTTTACAAGTTGATAAGTTAACAAATTTCTACTATGAGGTGATAAAGCATTTTATAAATTTTTACGCACTAAATAATGCCCTTTAATTTGAATCATATCTATCTGAAATTATTCCAATAATATGTAACTACTTTAAATAAATGTCTTATTCTCTAAAATATTTCTAACATTCATTGCGTAATATACAAATTATATTATTTAGGGCCCCCAATAAAGACTTTTATCTTATTTTTTAATNTTTCTAACATTCATTGCGTAATATACAAATTATATTATTTAGGGCCCCCAATAAAGACTTTTATCTTATTTTTTAATAGAATAGAAAAAAAAATTATTGTTTTATTGTTATTTTATATTATTTTTGGAATTTATTTTCCTTAAAAAATCCTGAGTTATTATAGTCATTAATACAATTCAAATGTACTAGTTTAAAGTTTAATCTTGCTTTTTTCCCCTAATTGATTTTTATCAGGTTTTTCATATATCAGTATAATATTTTTACTTTCACATTTATCTGATTGTCTATACTTTAAATGTTTATATATCTAGAAATATATATATATATATATATATATATATATATATATATATATATATATATATATATATATATGACACATTATTTTTAGCTATTCTAATTGTTTTGCACTCATTTAATTTTTTTTTTTTGAGACATAATTAAAACGGCTCAGTAGAAAACTAGATTTTCTTCTTTTTGCACCATGGTCCATTTTTTTAATTCTATAATATTTTTCATATATTTTCTTTATGCAGACTATTTGTTTCCAGCTTAACCTCTAAAATCTTTGTTCGTCTCTTTTCTCCCAGCTCTTCCTGAGAACATCACGCAGCGCTTCGTTCACCCCAGTTTGAACCGAGCTGCAGACTCACCACTGGCCCGTCTTCAGTTCCCTTTCCCGCCTTGTTAATGTTAGAAGATAAACTGTCGATGACTAAGACGGGTCACAGAGTGGTCAAACGGGCTCTGAGAGTTTGGGAACTTTGTATTCCACTGATTATATTTACATTTTTTAGCAACAGGAGCAAAACGTTCCCATCTCACTGACAGTGACCAAAGCCCCGCCACCAAACCTTTAGACAGGAAGGTTTTTACAGTGAAAAAAAGGCTGCTAGTGTAAAGTTTTAATACCTTTTTTTTTTAAAGACTAAAGCATTCCAGGGATGCTTTTACACTAACTCAAAATATATCATAGCTGTTCAGTTAAGGAAAAAGGTACACTTAAACACCTGCATCCCTTTAATAGACATACAGCAGAGGGAACATAGAGAAAAAATACAGTGGGCCTAATAATCGTACCTGAGGGACACAGTCATAATTGTTTCAGGTAAAGCTTATAGACGCCTTTATGAATGTAGATAAGAACTTTCATAAAGGTGTCATTATCGCCATCATGAGTAATATTTTTAATGTATTTAACCTTATCCTTAGCCAGCACTTTAACGTAGGATTTGATTTCACCTGTTCTGACCCCTAGCAAATAGGGATGCACGATATAATCGGCCCCCTATCGGTATCGGCCTG